AAAAGGAAATTAGCCTCGTTAAAAATTAAAGGTAAAAAGCTACCCTTTTTCGTTAAAGAATTTATATAGTCCTATTAAGTAATTTCATCGTAAAATTCACCCTTCTATACCCCTCTATCTATATAGTTAATTCCCCGGTAATAAGGTATTCCCTCTATACCTTCTTAAAGGACCTAAATCGTAAGAGTATATTATAGATATTAAGGGAAGTACTAGAGTTAAGGATAGCTAATTTTTATAGGGGATAATTAAAGGGCTCTAACGGTTAGTCTAAGCTTTATTAATCTATAGGTAAGACGAAAGCTAGATTTACTATACTAACGATTTTTCCTTAAATTTATAGCTTAAATAAAGGCAGCGGCGTTATTAGTTATTATTTCTTAGCAACCTAAATCTCGTCTATCTTCTTCTATAATAAAGGGTCCTCCTTAAGAGACTATTATATTATTTCTTATAGCATTTTTAAAGGGTTAAATCCTTTAGGTTAGTTTTCCTTAAAGACCTATTAGTATTATAATAACTAATAGCCTAGGGATTTATAGGCTAGGTAGCCGTTTCGTTTTTTAGTTTTCTATTTCTTCGAGGAATCCTCGTCCCGGTCCGGAAGGTCTACTTAAAAACCCCCCCTTTTTACCCCTTATTACTAATTTTAACGAAGAGGTTCGATTTCGACTAGTTCCCTAATTTTTCGACTAACGAAATAAAAGGTCTATTAGGGGACTAGTCGGGCCGGACGGACTAACGGGGCCGGGCCCAGAGTAGTAGGCGGAGCTAGGGCCGGGACTAGGGCAGCCGTTAAAGATAGGGTTAAGGCTCTCGAAGGAGGTAGAGCTAGAGGGGCAATAGCCGTAGTAGCGGGGGCCGTAGTAAGAGGGGCTATAGTAGCTATAAGGGCAGTAGGTCGAGCTATCTAGGTCGAGTGCTAGCTACGAAGGAATAAGACTACTTATTATTATACTTTAATAGCTATAAGGAACGGTGTTCCTACTATAAATAAAGCAGCTATAATATACTCTCCCGATTATATAAGCTAATAAGTAGTATATTAATTATAGATAAAATCCTATCCTATAGAGCAAGAATCGCTCGTTATTTTGCATGTTATTATATATTAGACGGGTTGCCCCGGTTATCGTACAATCGGGAATCGAAGGAACAGAGCTAACTTAGAATGCTAGCTAAGACCTCTTAAGAATACCGGCACGACCAACCTCCTTTAAACACGAATATCAGTGGAACCAAGACACTTCTAGATTCACTCGAGGTATCACGGAATTCCTTAGTCTTAGGGCTATACGGCAGCCTAAATCTGGTCCCGAAAGGTTCTTCCGTTTAGCTATAATTGTCTATATAAGACAGCATGTCCGCTAGTAGATAGAGAGAGAATCATTAACTTAAACACCTCTTCTACATACTAATACACTACTAATAAATTCCGTTGAAAATCCTATCTTATACTCCTTCTTCCCCTCTATTACGTAGTCTTACGTGATTCCTTAATTTCCTAAAATTCCGCTTTTGCTTATATACCTTAAGAATAGCCTCTTTATTTAGTTCCCGGCTAGCTTCTTAAAAGATAGTCGAGTAACCGTTACTAATAGGTTTTATTAGTAGAGATATATCCTATAGCTACTAGCTAGAAAGAGTTTCTATTAAAAAGTATTAGTTAGCTTCCTCGAGGATCTCTTCTTACTTAGCTAGCTATAAAGAAGCTAGTAGGCTCCTAGTAGAAAAGGCTCCTAGGTATACTATATAGGTCTTCTTAATATAGTTAGTTATATAGCCCCTTAAGGGAGCTATTAAGGTCTTAAGCTTTTAAAGCTACTACTTAGGGGTCTCTTCTTCTTAAAGAGAGATTAGCTTTATAGTACTAACAGATTCTATTATTACTATATATATAGTAGTTAGCAGCTTTATCTTATAGAGGTATTCCTTATAGTAACTCTTATAGTTACCTAAGGTAGTAGAAAAAGCTCTTTACTATATAGAGGTTAGCTTAGAGAAGAGGGAAGCTCCCTCTATAAATTCCGTTGCCCTAGGATAAAGAGGGGGCTTAAGAGGGTCCTACTTATTAGAGAAGACTAAATTATAGATAGTTCTATCTATACGAGCCTATAGCTCCTTTACCTACTTATCTTAATCTTAAGGCTTTATAAGAATCGTCTTATAGATAATAAGGGCGGCTAAGGAATCGTTTTTCGATATTACTATAAGGGAAGGGTAGAAAAGTTAGTTAAAAATCGGCTTTTCTAGTATAAGAGGTAAAAGGAAGCTACGAGGGATATAAGAAAGGTGCCTTTTATAGTAGCGGGAAGGTATAGGAACTCTATTCCTCCCGGGTTTTTAACTATCGTATAAAGAGATATAAGAAGTATATAAAAAATATATAAAGGTAAAAGTAAAAGTAAGGGGTTAGATAGAAAGGGCAAAGTCATTTAATTCTTATAAGGGCAGTAATTATAGTAAGGGAGTAATTATTATATTACCTTAATTATCCTTCTTTCTTCTATCTAACGCCCCTCTTTATACCTATCTAGTATCTTAATTAATAAAGAAGATCTTACTTAAAGAAGCTATTAATATCCTCTTAACTACCGAGCTTTTTGCCGGGTTTTCCCCTCTATTCTAGCCGTTACCGGCTTATCCGTCTTATCTCTCGCTACCTCTATAAGAGGCTATCGCCACTTCTGCTTTCCCTTATGCCCCTACCCTCTTCTCTGCACCTCCTTTTAGCTCCTTCTTCTAAACCGGTTTTTCAGCTTCCTAGGTCCCTCTTGCCACGGGATATCTCCGAGAACTGCGAAATCAGGCCACGCTTCGCGACAACTGTCGCCCCAAAAACAAGAGCCGATGACTCCTACGAACACCCCAGGAGCTAGAGAAGCGCTCCTCCGGCAAGCCCCACGCGAGCACCTTCCGAATTGCAGGTGCGAAGATGCGCACAGCAACCGGACGACCCTCCAATTCGGCTCCACGAGCAGCGACAGCGCCGACATCGACTAAGGAGATGCTATAATAGGAGACGCAGCATATGAAACCAATACCGATAAACTGGACGACCTGCCTAACGCTGAAGGCCTAGTAGCAACGGTTGCCCACGCGGCAGAGAGCCTTATCGCCAGCTAGATAGAATCATAACAGGCAAAGCTGGCCGTCTTCCGCGCATTCTGCACCGCCTTCGACTAGACGGCTACTTAGTTTACCTCGGGCCACGCGCTTACCTTCGCGAAGGACTTCTCGCGCGACTTTATAAGCTACTAGGACAGCGCGCTTAACGGCGTGCCTACACGCGCCGGTAAGAACGTAGCTAACACGACCGCACCGACCTGCGCCGATATGGCCTATAAGAGTATGGCGCAGACAGGAGGCCCCATCCGCCAGCCTCGACCCACGGCACCGGGAGGCCCCTCTGGTCTAGCCGCCTAAGGATGACTAGCGTGTCCTCTTGTGGCTCGACGACAAGTCCCCGCAGAGCACGGAAGGGAAGGTGTGCCGGGTGTGCGGAGAGACGGCCGGGGTTCTAAGGTGCAGCCGATGCTAGGCGGTGGCGTACTACGGCAGGGAACACCAAAAACAGGACTAGAAGACGCATAAAAAGGGATGCAAGCTAAAGGCTAGCTAGGCAGAAGCTACACGGGTACCGATATACTTAGAAAGAAGAGGAGAAGAAGGCAAATAGGAAGAGCATAAAGAACACTAAGAAGCACTATAAGAATTGCGGGTCGAACTCCGGTAGGCTAAGATCGATAGCGATAAGCAAAACATAATAATGCGAGAAACGAAGGCTGACCTGCAGTGGTGGAACTGTGATCTTTAAGCTCTGGTACGGGATTTAGTTGGCAATAGTAACGGCTAGCAATAGCTCGGTGCTGTGTTAGATATCTTAGGGTGCTCGATCGATCTAATTAGTTGACCCCGAGATAGCTGCTACGGAACGGGGACTGCCCCTTAGTATACCCGCAATATTACGAATTTCGCAATAGAGCACTATTTTCGCAGTGTTAATGTTTGTGCGGGCTTTAAGAATAAGAGCATTAATCTACTTATAGTAGAACTTATCTAGTCTAGACGGTATTCGGCGTTAAGTATTGTTAAAAGATTCTGGATATGCCTAGTGAAAGTGGAACATGCGGGGAAAAGGATTTAAGAGAACGGCAGTGGGACGCTGCTCTACCCCTGCAAGGTAAGCTGCGTCTAACTTCCGGGTAGCGTCGCGGCCTGAGGCAGAAGACGCCCTACGTTAAGGTTAAGCCAAGTACGCGTCCGGTAATTAGAGCACGTAAAGCACACGGCGTCAGCTATAGCTGTGCTATAGATGTCGGCTGGTGCTCCGGTACGAAAATTGGGGCATTCCTTTTAGCAATAGTAGCTTTAACCCTTAAACCCACTTATTGGCGAAATAAATCTTGTTTTTTTATCCCTAAAAAAGATTATATAAAGTGCTTATGTGACTATGTAGCGATAGCGCAATACTAAAGGCTGAAGTTCTGGCAACTACATTCGAGCCCTCGCAATATCTACCAACACTGCGGGGTGCTCGGCTGACTGCATACGACATACCCTAACCCGATGCATATCTCTCCGCTAATAGATACCAAGGTTACCCGGCGGGGCGAAAAACACGCTGTCGCTCCCCGTGCCCTTTTGCCTACTGCTGGACCGGCGGTGTTTTTCTTACACTGGATGCTGTGCCAGACGACAATGGTGGCTTGAAAGTCGTTGTCACGGGGATCGGACGACTAATATTCTAAATAGGCTTAGCGCATTATACTAATCAGCAAACCCTTTTGAAGTGTTCCTCCGGGGTCGCCGATGGTCTACATCATGTGTCATGTGATGGTCTCAGCCACAGCGCTACGGCCCACATAGACAAAAAAGACCACGCCCCCTTGGCAAAGTGGCATTTTATTTCTCCAAACGCTACCCTCTAAACGTTATGTGAGTCTCCGTTGGCTGACGCATCGTGATCTATTTGCATTTTTCACACTCGATAATTGAATATGGAACCCGTCAGTCGGCATTTGCAAACGATCAAACAAAATGCCGAAGATTTCCAATCGAGATTCCCTCTAGTTGACAGGTTTCGGCCTTCGTTCGCACCGGCTCACGGGGCTGAGATCGCAACACTTATCAGCCCAACCATCTCCTACTACTATACGACAAAGGTTTTCGTCAAAAGGCAGCCTCACCAAGATGAGCTCGGTCTAGACGTCTACGGTAACCCGATGATCAATCCCTATATCGCGGACCGTCTACGAAACGAGGCCGCCGCGCTTCAATTCATCGCCAAGCATACTACGATTCCCGTGCCAGAATTTCTCGATCTGTGGGAGGACAACGGACTCGTATATTTGAAGACCGCTCTTGTTGGAAATGGTGTCGAGCTGCAACATGTGGACGAGACTCTACTCTCTACGGCCACCAAGAGTGTTACGGCCCAGCTCGAATCGGACATTCTTCCTCAGCTCAGGCGTCTAAGGCGGAATTTCATGGGCAGTCCCAACCCAGAGCTGCCAGTGATACCCCCACGTCGACTTTGGGACTGGAAAGAGAAGCGAGTTTGGCCATTAATGACAAAGGATACGGATGAATACGTCTTCTGCCATACGGATCTGGACCGACAAAATATCCTAGTGGACCCGAACACTTTCAAGATTTTGTGCATCTTGGACTGGGAGACGGCTGGCTTTTTCCCTCAAGAATGGGACCTTCCTTACTGGACGGCGAATGGACCGCGGGAGAAACACCAGATGTCCATGGAAGCTAAACGCTGGGAAATCACCTCCTTCGATTTCCCAGGCACTATTCCAAATGGTGCTCTTAGTCCCGCGAGCATTCAAGTGTAGCTCAGTTGAAGACAACTAGTCGTTTCACTACGTTCTTCGTTCGGCATAGGGTATAAGTTCTGTCACGCGTAGAAGCAGATCGCCAAGACAATTCGGAAGTAGATTGAGGGAAAACGGAGGGTTTCGGTGTAGTAAATAATCATTTCCTCTCAAGAATCATCAGGCCCCCACTCCTCTCAAGTTGATTTTGTCCTTGTGCAGAAACGAATGTATATCTAGCGAGCGGCAAGCTTGTATCGCTGACGCTCTTTCACGCCTCTCGAACATCCGGCAACCCAATTCATTCCATCCGGGAGCAATCAAGCTGAGAATTTTGAGCCTTGAATCATTTACAAAGGTGATTTTCATCTGCAGTGGAAAGTTAATATTTTCCTTCGCATCACGTCTATTGTACTTACTTCGGCTGGTGTTTAACAGGCGGGAGCTTCCCGCAATTGGCATGGGAGCATGAAGTCCATGGATGGAATCCGCAAGCCAGGCATTTCTCAGTTGAGCTGGAAGGAATGGCTGCTTGGCAATGCATGCACTCCTTGACAGCCATGTTTGGGTCAATTTCGATATTTGTGGCGTGACGGGTGAATACGATGCAATCTCAAATCTGATACGATGCAATCTCAAATCTGTGTGGGACAGCGGAGGTAGAAAGCAGCAACTGAGCTGAAGTATGGAGTAGAGGGTTCTTATATTCCTTTGGACCTACTTTTAAGAAGAGTTTTCAACATGGACGGGACATGCGGATGCCACAAATGCAGGATGAATCACAGATGGGCAACCAAAGAGTGAGGTGGTGATGATGATGATGTTTATTTCGCCATTGACGATAGTCAGAGGCACTGCGTCAGACTCGCTAAGCCTATTCTAGAGTTGTCCAATACTCGGTTCCGAGCCCAAGGAATTCGTCCCGATCGAATGCCTAAATTTCTCTTACATCCTTCAATCCGTCTCTTGCTCATTTGACCTGTGCCTTTCCAATTCTGGAGCCTGTCTGATGAGGTACAGACCACTCTCCTCCGCCGCATTTGACGAAGAGTCCACCTGCCTTTAGCCGTCCGGTGTAGCTAACCTACCAGCTGTGGGGCAACCACAGGTATAGGTAGAGGGTTTGTGCTGAAAAGAAAAGGTTAAGACAGAGGATGTATGTTAGTAGGGCGACGGTCGTAACTTGGCGAGTTCCCGGCGATATACCGGGCACCCAGGATCTGTAGCCTTGTGTGCTCCTTTTCCACCGCACGCTGCACACTTAAAAACGTTCGAGGTGCAAGTCGACGCAGAATGGCCCGGTTGGGCGCACTGTCCACAGATCGGAGCTGGGGCCTTGCAGCGATAATGCAAGTGTCCGTAGAGGTGGCAACGGTAGCATCTCGCTGGTTGAAGTCCCTGAACGAATGGTCGCGTGTATGCACACTCGCCATTCGCCATCTCAACCGTTCGTTTTGCAAGCAACCTGTCCACCTCCTCTTTCTTATCCAGGTGTACCACCAGAGAGCGGTATTCCTTGTCGACAGACGCTGTCCCGAGCCATCGCATCTTGTGCACTTCCACCCCGTTCATCCGCCCAAACACGGCGCATCCGATATCATCCGTCGCAACCCCACGATGGGCTCTATCAACCCGTAGAGGTACCACTGCTCCCCATATAGCGTTCCCTTGTCGAAATGTGTCCTCATCCAGGTGTCGTTCTGCCGTACTTTATCGACGTCCGTCTCTCGAAAGAGAAGCCGAAAACGCCCGTTTCCTTTAGAATTGACGCCAAGACAGGTCACACCCAAATTCTCAAGGGCAGCGTTCGCGCGCCGACGAATAGTGCCGGCATTGCCTTCCCTTATGTCGCTATCTAGGACCCGACTCACGTCCAACCCAATGCCTGGCAGTGGTCCTGGGACTGGAGAGGGTGGTGGCGAAGGTGGCAGGTGCTGTTGCTGTTGCTGATGAGGCGCATTTGGAGTGGCGGACTCCGGAGGGCTAGCGACGCGTGGGAAGAGCTCGTTTCGAATGAACTCTTCCAAGGACTCGACGCGTTTCTCCGCCCTTTCGGCCCGCTCCTCGACGCGTTTCAGGAGAGTTTCGATTCGTGCCAATGAATCCTCGTTGGCACCGGGTCGGCATTCGTCGATTTCGCTTTCGGGACGGCGGATTTCTTTCGTGATGGGCGCGGTTCTGGGTCGAATTGCAGTGTCGGTTTCAGAGGGCGACCGCGAGCGCTGGTCCTTGTCGCGTCGGCCGCGCTTGTCGAATTGGCCACAATGATGCTACAGGCCACATTGTCGTTCGTACCGTCATCCTCGTCATCGAGCAACTCGAATTGGTTCGAGTTGCGCTTGGTGCTGTTCTTGCTTTTCCGCGGCATATCTTCCTCCCAAGTCACATCTGAGGTGGTGATTCTGGTAGTGCGGCAAGATTCTGGTAGTGCGGCAAGAGGTCCCATGAGAAGTGGAGACCAAGTGCGGAGGCTAAACCTGACCCAAACGCCATGACTCTCGGCCAATCAAAGACGCCCACGTCATGTGCCCGGGTTGCATACTAAATAAGTCTGGTCTGGTCTGGTCTTGTCTGGTCTGGTCTGTTTGGTCTGGTCTCGTTCCATCCAGCTTGACTGTTCCAACATCCAACCTCATCTTTTGTTCGAACTCTCGGCTTCATCACAGATAATTCACTCATCCGTCATGTCTCGTGGTGTTGATGAATTGATTAAACGCCTTGATGTGGAACTTGCGTCTTTCGACGATGACGTCAGGCCGCTGCTCTCTCCCCAGTTGATCTCGTTTGTTGCAATTTCTAAGTTGCTGAAAGATAGCGAGGCACCCGGCCTGTCAAAACAACGCCGCAGCGAAAAGTGCCGAGCTCGTGACCTCTTGACCGATGTCTTCTTGGTCTTAGGGGCCGAGGTTTTCATGTTGTGCAGTTTTGCAATACCGCTTACGAAGCTGAGCACCACCAAACAGAAAGATCTCATACCAAGACTTCGGGCATGGTGGACGGCGTCACCACGGCCTCGAGGCTTGACAACAATGGCTGCAACTATGGGCCAGTCGATTAACGATATTATATCTTCCTCCAGAAAACGAAAGTTCTCGGAGATTGGCATAAATGGTTTGAATCTCCACCAAAAACGATCATAAAATTTTGCTGATGTTTTTCCAAGGTTACGCGGATACCTGTATGCACCCAGTTGCATTTCATTTAGGTCTAAGCTAATGATTAGATTTGACACCATATTGTACAAGCTTGCGAGTCACCGACCTTCAGTCTTTCTTGGAAAAGAGTAAAGGGAAATACAGTGCATTGACGTTGAGGGTACAAGAGGGGGAAGGTAGACTGCCCTGTATCGAGATCTCAGAGAGTATGTGCCAGGATCTGATCATGCATGCTATACAGAATGAAGATGCAAGGGTCAAGGGTCAAGGGTCAAGGGCGAACCATCAATCAGATAGCGGGTAAATGAATATCACCGTCGGATACCCATACAGCATACATGATTGTCCCTCGGACACACTCGCGAAATTGGCTTCTTTCTTTCCACGACCCGTGTAGATCCTCACAATCTCACCCCCCTCCTCACCTGATACTTGCACGAAGCCACGCTCGCTGCCTTGGTCCACTACAACGCCAACAATTTCGGGCCATCGTTTGTACGTGAAGTTATTATCGCCGGTTGTTTCGTTGTCCGCAAGTTGTAAATTAGGTTTTCCGCCTATCTGAAAGACATCAGTTACGTTTGAATTGAAGTGACGCAGTATGTTGTACCAATCTTTCGGCCTCATCTCGTAATCTTTTCTTGTCTTCACTATTCCTTGCCATAAATTCGATCGACAACGAACTGTAGCCCGGTCGTCTGAGCGATGTTGATGGAGAAAGCCGGAGAGCTACGTATTAAGGAACTCAGGTTTTTGCTGAAGAGAACGGATATATCCTTACCGTCAAGTCGCCCTGTGCCTGGGAAGAGGAGGTTCAAGGATTGATGCCAGAATGCCCGACGACCAAGAGTAGAGTAGTTACCCCACTATGAGCTAGTTTGTGCGATATCGGAACCGGAATATCAAAGATCCGGTTATCGAGAACGGAAGGGGTCAGTGCACGGCATTGCTTGCCTTCGAGAACCTTCTTTCAGGTCTCGCATGCTAAAGCTCAGGCTTCAATTAGTAATTGCTATCAAATCCCGCAGCCAATCTGCGGCCGACGGAAACGTACCGAATCTATCTGCGACTATGCCTAAGCCAACTAGTAATTACACAGACAACACCAGACCGACCAGACCACATCGGACCAACAGATCGCACACCAGACCACACCAGACCACACCAGACCACACCAGACCACACCAGACCACACCAGACCACATGGACCACACCAGACCGACCAGATCATACCGGACCAACAGACCGCACCGGACCAGCAGATCACACCAGATTATAGAAAGCTTCAGCTAATTCTTTTTAAATTTTACTTAGTACATCCCCTAATAGTATCTGTCAAGCTGGTAAAATACCGCTACACTATGCAAAATGAGGGCACCCTCGATAGAGGTATTACTAACGCGTATTATAGGCCCTAGTCTTGACACACCCCCTAGGTTGATGGCTGCAAATTCTATGGAGCTAGCAAGCTACCCGTAGGACTAATAGGGCCTTGTCTGGCAAATAGATAGGATTTCCTATGTAGTTGAGGAGGCACAGGCAACCCCCCTGACTCTTTGGATTTAGGCTGTCAGCTACCCGCAGCGCATCATAACCACCCTATGAGTCGAATAATAGACCAACCAGCTAGCGCAGCTTCCGGAATAGGTTTCCAACCCTCGCTAATTCGCCTAGCGGGGACCCGCAACCGGGCTCATAACTCTTAAGCAGGGGCTTAAGAGCATAGTAGAAGAAATAGGGGTATAGAAAGGTAAATTTAGTGATATATGTCTTAGTCTATCTATTAAGATAAGGGAGGGGCTTATATAGGTATAGTAACTATATATAGCTAGCTAAAAGAGGGTATTAGGATATTCCTATACCTAA